TTTTTTTTTTTTTTTTTTTTTTTTTTTTTCAGCAACTTTGTCGGATCCCTCATGGACAGTCTTGCTTTTTTTTACTGGAAGGAAACATCCAACGCATGTGGAATGAAGGGCGTCCCCGTACGTTTGAACCTGCCCCATCAGCGTTTTGGCGGGACTCACGGCCATGACAGTCCCTGACTTTTCCGTCAGGTCACCCACGAGCCTCTGCTGTCCTCGCCGGAGGTCCTCTGAATTGTCCGATCAGCGCCAATTATTGTAACAACTCCACTTTTATTTTATTGCGTACATTCGTTGCTTCCCGCCTGCGCATCTCCCTGTACGGCCTGCCAATCTATCTCCCGCCAGTGCAGCTTGCGCTGGAGCGGCTGGACCGGAGTCCCACCACCATCGAATGTGCCGAAGGCGGTGGACAGCAATGAGTATGCCCGCCAAGCGGCGCGAACCACACAACGACTTCCGATCTCGCCGAAGTATAAAGGTGGAGGAACCGATCGCAATGGAAGCAGTCGGCTACAGCTGCGGGTTGGAAGCGCATTCCTCCCTCTTCTCGCCGCTGTACTGGGATCTACATATCGGATTCCCTGTTACTATCAGCGAGTGATAGGAGGCGGGGGGTGCGTATGCGAGCCACTGGGTGGGAAATTGGCCGCCGGACTGTCTGGGGTGGAATCAGAACAGAGGGAACTCGAAAGAGCGTGCTGGTCTTTTGCAGTTCTCTTCTTCGAAGGTGTTAACTGATTCGTGTTCATCCACTCAGAGTCTCTCTTCGATCAATCATGGCGACAGGCGCGGCTCCAGAAGTGCTGAAGCAGCTCAGCGATGCTGGACTCAATGGACCGCAGATTCTTTACAACCTGAGCCCTCCTGAGCTGTACGAGCAGGGGCTGAAACACGAGAAGGGCTCCTTCATTACTTCGACGGGAGCCATCGCCACGCTTTCGGGAGCGAAGACCGGACGTTCACCCAAGGATAAGCGCGTCGTCAAGGATGAGACCACCGCAGAGGAGCTCTGGTGGGGAGAAGGCTCGCCGAACATCGAGATTGACGATGCCACTTACCTGGTAAACCGGGAGCGAACCCTGAATTATCTCAACTCCTTGGAGAAGGTGTTTGTGAACGACCAGTTCCTTAACTGGGACAAGCAGAACCGCATCAAGGTGCGCATCGTCGCGGAGAGGGCGTACCACTCCCTCTTCATGCGGAACATGTGCATTCGGCCGGAGCCGAGCGAGCTGGAGGGTTTCGTCCCCGATTTCACCATCTTCAATGCCGGCAAGTTCCCTGCCAACAAGCTGACCAAGTTCATGACCTCCTCGACGAGTGTGAACATCAACCTGAAGCGTGCTGAGATGGTCATCCTTGGCACGCAGTACGCCGGGGAGATGAAGAAGGGGCTGTTCGGACTGATGCACTACCTGATGCCCAAGCGGGGAATCCTGTCCCTCCACTCGGGATGCAACACCTCGCCCGATGGTCAAGTCTCTGTCTTCTTCGGACTCTCCGGAACCGGCAAGACAACGCTGTCGGCCGATCCCCGTCGTCCTCTCATCGGCGACGACGAGCACTGCTGGAGCGATAACGGCATTTCCAACATCGAGGGAGGCTGCTACGCCAAGTGCATCGACCTTTCGCCAGAAAAGGAGCCGGACATCTTCCACGCCATCCGCTTCGGAACGGTGCTGGAGAACGTCGTGTACGATGAGAAGACCAGAGTGGTCGACTATACCGACAAGTCGATCACAGAGAACACGAGGGCGTCCTACCCGATCGAACACATTGGCAACGCCAGGATCCCATGCGTTGGGCCGCATCCGAAGAACGTCATTCTTTTGACTTGCGACGCCTTTGGTGTGCTTCCACCAGTCAGTAAGCTCACGGATGCCCAAGCCATGTACCATTTCATCAGCGGCTACACTGCGCTGGTTGCGGGAACTGAGGTGGGGATCAAGGAGCCCAAGGCCACGTTCTCGGCTTGCTTCGGCGCCGCGTTCATCATGTATCATCCGACCAAGTATGCGGCCATGTTGGCCGAGAAGATGAAGCAGTACGGGGCTACCGCATGGCTCGTCAACACCGGATGGGTCGGAGGAAGCTATGGCGTTGGCTCCCGAATGAAGCTCTCACAGACGAGGAAGATCATTGACGCTATCCATGACGGTTCGCTCGAGATTGCAAACTACTCCACCACGCCCATCTTCAACCTCCAAGTCCCGGACAAAGTCAGCGGTGTTCCGGACGAGGTTCTGCGGCCAAGGGAAATGTGGGCGGACAAGGCTGCGTACGATGAGACCCTGAAGAAGTTGGCAGGGCTGTTCACGAACAACTTCAAGAAATTCACCGCCCACAGCGTCGGCGGTGACGATGACCTCACCAAGCGTATCCTTGCTGCCGGCCCTCAGCTGTAGTTTCAGGTGTCAGACCCCCATCACCTTCTTGTGGCTCCTCTTCCTTCCATCTTCGTCATTGCTGCCGCCCCTCAGCTGTAGTTCAGGTTTCAGACCCCCAACAGCCTTCTTTTGGCGCCTCTTCCTTCCATCGCCATTCATTATATTCTTTGAGCTCTGTCACAATAACTGTTGTTGGAATCCAACACATTCGTTCCCATTTCGGCACAGCCTACTAGTTCTCAACTTGAAGTCGTCTAGGATTTCTCCATGATTATTTCGTTTGTCTGCCTGTCTACTATAGAGTACCTATCATAGCGATGAGGTGGTTAAGTTATGGTTAAGTTAGTCAAAGTGAGACCTCCGCGGCGTGGACACCGGGCTTTTTCTTTTTGTTCCCCTGTTTTCTCCAGCTTAAGGCAGGCGCTCAGAGTGCTTGGACTGTGGAATCAGTGTGGAGCAATTCCCTGTTTCTTTCGCACATGACTTTGTACGGGGTGATTTTTCCTTTTGACTTTTCGGGAAGGAAGGAAGGTGCGAATTCGCTGCAGTGGTAGGGATTTTCTTCTCTATGAAGTAGGAAAGGAAAAGCAAAATCTTTTTGAAAGGGTTCAGATTAGACTTCAGATCACGGACAGGAGAAATGGCTTGGCTGGGTCGGTGGGGTGTTCTTTTTTTCTCCTTTGTCATTTCGGGAAAGAAGGTGTGACATCGCTGAAGCGGCTGAAGTAGCAGGCAGATTCTTCTCGATGAGGTGGGGTAGAAATGAAAAGCACCATCTTTTTCGAAGTTTCAGATTAGACTAAGTCTTCTTATCAGGAGAGAACCTTTGGGATACATGAACTATGTCGTTGACATTCTTTTTTCTCCTGGACTATAAAAACGATTTGTGTGGCCCAAAAATTTCGGAGAGAATTTTTCAGGAATGCTGCTGAAGTATGATGGTGCCTTTTTATGCCATTTATGGTTGAATACTGTGACAATCCAGTTGGCTTGGCTCTCGTAGGCGTTCGGCGATTCTCCACGAGTCATTATTCCTTTGCTAACGCTTCCACTGTTGCACTTGGTTGTTTGCCTTATTAGCTTTGAAATTGAGTTTGATCTCCATATGCCTCTGAGCAGCCAACTACATTTTCATTTTGACTTTGAAAGGAGGGAGGGGGAGGGGGGGGACGAGTTCCAGTGTCTCCCTATTTTAAGGAATTATTATTATTATTATTATTATTATTATTATTATTATTATTATTATTATTATTATTATTTAACTGTGCTATATTCTTCTCTCACTTTCACCTTTCACTATCTACCTGCCAGGACTCCTACGCCTATACAGGGGACCCCTGCAAGCATAGCTACCTCTCACAATTAAGGGGATGCATGTTGGCCCCCCACCCCTTACTTGGCGGTGGTCAGGGAGTACGGTGGGCCGCGGGTGGGAATGCCGGCTAACGCAAAAAACCGAGCATTTTGCCAGTAGCACCCCACCCTCCATCGAGTAGCAGCAGTGGCTATGGCCAACACTCTCCTACACGCCACACACAACCCACTCACGCTCACATGCACACCTGCGGATCAGATAATGAACCTCGCTCCACTACTCTCGAAATGTGCAAAACGCGAGTGAATCTTCCGCGAGAACATGGAAAGACCATTATTTTTGTCTTTTGTTCATGTGGAGAGTAGTGGAGTGGGGCCCAATATTAGACAGATCAAAGCAGATACTGCACTTGATCTATTTTTAGCCAAAAGGCCGAGAAAGGTCTTTATTTTAAGGATTTTACCTCAATCAAATTCCATTTCCTCTGGACTTTTCTTTGAGGGAAAAAAAAAAACAGAAAAAAAAACAGAGGTCTGGACTTATCTTTACATCCGATAACGACAACAGAACTTGAATAAGAAATTTTGTCGAAGTCGTCTCAGCGGCGGCTATAAGGGCAACCTCACAATACTAGTAGTACTTTCCTTAAATATCTGATTGCAATTACAACCAGACCTGGATGAACCCAACTGCAATCATGTCCAGCGCTTATTAGAAAAAAGTCCTAGTGTGAGTATGCCCTAAGACAGAAGGGAGGGAAAAACATGCCATCTTGTCATAGGCGACTCCAGGTTCCGAGTCTTGAGCCCTAATCTCAGCCTTTATTAGTCTTTAATGACTCTTTATCCGTTTCCTGGATTAGACTCTTGATTCCCTTGTAGGCTTGTACCATCCCAGCTGCACTGACTGCTACCGTCTTCCCCACGTGTTGTAAACGAATACAATGCATAGAACATAGGATTCATGGAAACCTAACAAACAAGAATGTTAGATTTGCATGAAATCTATTGAAGATTCTTATAGTACGTTTTTTAGACCTCCGCGGAGCAGTAAAACAACCGCAAGAAAGAAATAGAGAAGTACTTTTTCAGAGCCATTGGAAGTGCCGAAGAGAAAATCAGGTTTTTCCACATAAAATCCCTGTCATGCGAACACCGTATATTCAGTAACCAAAATCTCCAGGTTTTTTGTTATCTAAAAAAATCATGTTTATAGTCCTATAAGATGTGTAGCATAACGAACGAATTTGGGGGTTCCGCAAACACGCAAACATGTTCTCATGTTCACGAATACGTTCGCCTTAACAATGTTCTCCCATATACGGGTGAATATATTATTTTAATATTTTTTTATGTTTGTTTTTATTCTCCCCCAATTTTTTATTTTAAACTCGCGTTTGGCTAAGAATTTAAAGGTTTATCCACGACAAAAATTATTTCTATTATTATTTTACATACCATATATTTTTTTTCAAGAGTTTTACTGTTAACTTCAAATAACGACCATTTCGTCAAAATGGGCATTTTTTTTTTTGAACGAAATTGAAACCGAGTTTTTTGGCCGAAAACTCGTCAAAATTTCTTGTTCCTGAGGGTCCGGCGTTTGTAAAACGCTGGACCCCCTGGCTGTACATGGACCTAGSTTGRGACCAGGYASCTCCAGGYAGKMCTRCCTGGAGSTRCCTGGTCYCAASCTAGGTCCATGTACAGCCAGGGGGTCCAGCGTTTTACAAACGCCGGACCCTCAGGAACAAGAAATTTTGACGAGTTTTCGGCCAAAAAACTCGGTTTCAATTTCGTTCAAAAAAAAAAAATGCCCATTTTGACGAAATGGCAGTTAAATTTGATTTATTGTTCTATAAACTAGTTTTCGCAGAGCTTGATTTATACCTAACAACTGAAAATGACTTATAGTCCTATAAATGAGTATTCACAAAAAACGTCTTTTTTTACGTCTTTCGAGTTCGCCTTGCAGTCCTTAAAGGTTGTCTTGTTTGAGCCTTACTTTATCCAATTACTGATAATGACTTATAGTCCTATAATAGGATCTTTGCTGGAAAGGTTTTTGTTGCACATTTTGACGATAGCCTTTTGCCCAAATTTTTGGCCTCCTTCATCGAGAAAAGGTTCAAAAGTAATAAAAATGCTATTTTTTAATTTTTTTTTGTCAAAAATAGAAGTTCGACGTTTACTTTTCATTCCATAAAAAAATTGAGGTTTTGTATTTTTGTTAGGTTTTTAACTTCTTATGAATCACATGTTAGGTTGCTTGCCACTCGGATATAATGCATACACGTTCTATTAAAAGCAGCTTGAATATTTGAGTTCAACGCATATGCGTTCTATTTGAGTCATAGACCTTTCCCCCGAAAACTCAAATACAACGCAGATGCCTTATGTTAGGGGGAAGACGGGTGGACCGGGCTGGTCATAGAGCCTCGCCACACCACTCACTAAACGAGATAAATCCGAGTGCATTTTCGCCAAGAGGCCGTATGTTACTACAAATCTATGTTTCTACGATAAGTAACGAATGCATCTTGCCACCTTCTGAATGAAGGTGCACTCACATTTTTTTCTCCTGCTTGGTCTCTAGAAAATGTCGAAGACGGAGGAGACCGGCCTGAGGCTGCGTACCATGGAGCGCAAAGCATAATACTTAGTCTAAGCGCAGTCAAGGGAACGCGTGGGGGTGGAGATCAAGACGAGCTGTCAAGAAGCGAAGCTTAGGGAGAGAACCGTTTAAGCGTGAAGAGGAGAGGGTCTTGGAGCCTCTTGAGAAGTTGGGTTCACCTCACAGTGACCTCAGCTCACTGCGGCTAAGTATCCTGAAGTTGATAGATAGCCAAGGATTAGCCCTCGTTCACCTGGAGCAAGAGCTATTTGTCGACAATTAGCCCTCGTCCTGAAGCCAGAGCTATTTGTCGACAATTAGCCCTCATTTACTTGGAGCCAGAGCTGTCCGTCCAAAATTAGCCCTCGTTCACCTGGAGCAAAAGCTTCGTCTACAATTAGCCCTCGTTCACCTGGAGTCTATGAATCCCCCACGAAGGCGGCCACCCGCGGCCGCGGCAAGAGCTGCGACCCCGCGGCCATGGCCGCGCGACCAAGGATTTTCAAGGCCGCGTGGCGGCCAGTGGGGGGGGTTGGCGGAATTGGGGGTGGCTGATTGGGGTTGTGCAACCCCAACCCCACCCCCTCGCAGAAAAAAAAATAAAAATAAAAAACGAATTTCGGGATGGGGTGGGTTGGGGGTGAAAATGAATTTTCAGAATAAAAAAAATAAAAAAGTTTTGATTGATTGATTGATTGATTGATTGGGATTAAAAATTGGTTGGTTGATGGATTGATTGGGATTGATTGATTGATTGATTGATTGGTGCCAATTTGGTGGGGGAGCGGCTCCCCCCACCACACACACACACACACTCACACACTTTTTTTTCCCCTTTTTTCTTTCAATTGATCGATGGATTGGTGAGAGGGGGGTCCCCCCCCGGCACGCGCACTTACACACACAACCAAAAAAAAAAAAACAAATCTCTTTTTTTTTTTTTTTTTTTTGTAGTTTTTTTTTTATCTTTTTTTGGAAACAAAGGTGGACGCGACATGTTTTGAGTTCGCCAAGGCAGAAAAAACAGGCAGTCGGCACCTTTGTCATGGCCTGAGTTGGAAAAGGCGGTTGCAACTCAGGCCAGCACCGCCCAGCAGTGGTGTCAGGGTTGTGGTTTGGTTAAGGCGATTTTGTTTGTTTGTTTGTTTGTTTTTCGGCGTCAGTTTTTTTTTTTTTTTTTTKTCAGGGTTTTYTTTTTTTTTTTTTTCACGCGGGCACGCCCACGATGTCTAGGCCACGCCCGCGATGTCTAGGCCACACGCGCGGCTGGGCCACACCGACAATGTCTAGGCCACGCCTGCAGCTGGCCATGGCCGTGATGGGCCACCCTCACGAAAAAAAAAAAAAAAAAAAAACGCCTTAACCAATCCGCCACCCTGACACCACTGCCGGCCATGACAAAGTTGCAGACTGCCTGTTTTTTCTGCCCATTAAACTATCTCACGACGTTCTAATTGTTATGTTGGCCACTAGCCCGCTCGAGCCTGTTGTTGCTCAGTATACATACACTACTAGCACTCTATGTATCTCTACATAGCACGGACTCTACCTTCAACTTGTTTCAAGGCGACTAACTCCCATGTGACATAAACGTACTTCCCAAAAAATATGCGGTTTGGAAAAAATATATATATATGGGGTTGTAGGGTTCGAAAAACCCTACAACCCCATTTTGTTTCTTTTTTTTTTTTACATTTTATTTTGCCGGGAAAAAATCCCCAAACATAGTGGCAGCTACTTGGGGGCCGCCTTCCGCGGCCGCGGCCACAAACTCAGTCGCGGGCCATGAATGACCCCGCGCCTGGAGCCAAAGCTATTCGTTGACAATTAGCCCTCGTTCACCTGTAGCCAGAGAGCTATTCGTCGACAAGCGAGCATGTCACGAAGAGTTTGGCGGGCTCCTCAGAGACACCAGAGAAGTTGCAGGTCAGGCAGGACATGGGCCCAGACGAGGAGAAGGCGCTGAGTGAGGCAAGGATGCGGGTCTGAAAGAGAGAGGGCGAGCAGATGAAGGACATGGTCCTAAGTGTGAACAAAGATTTGCAAAAGGAATGAGTTTTGACCGAGTTAGCTACATACGTTTTTTTTTGGGTATGACA